CTTTTGCAACATTTTGGTAATGATGAAACCTAGTCATGTGAAAATTTTCAGATCAAAAGCACTTCACTCACTTTTTTTGAAATGCTTGAGAATAGTTCCAGAAGCAAGTAAAATAACGCTCATGTTTCAGCCTCAAAAAGTCCACAGATTCAATCCAAATTAGAGAATTACACTACTCGCTATAAACAATAAAACGATCATAGTCGAAATTGAAAAACTATTTTCCACTCGAAGGTCTTACGTCATTAGTTCAACGTTAATGCTGCTTTCATTTTTTATTCCCTAGGAATGAAGGCTGAACCTTTTCTCTGTTGTTATTTCAGAAGATTATTTATTATATGGATCCCCCGGTACTCTGCACCTAATCTATGGACCCCCTGGTACTCTGGACTTAATCCATGGATTCCATGGTACTTTGGAATGTTCATTGGCCTATTTTTATTCGCGACTGTGGCCATGGTCGTAATTTCATTGATACCTTTATATCTCAAAAACCATGGTGCGGACATGGTGCCGATTCAGAAAACAAGTTTGTCAACTCTCTCTTTCAGCTAAACAGAAGATTATGTTATTTGTTGAGCCATTGTTGTAAAAGTTTAGAATTAATATGACAGAACAGAAGTAATGGGAAATTCAGTTTTTCACTAACTGATATAGTACAATAATCCTGATCAGAAAAGCACATTATGAGTCTTTTACAAAAAAAAAGAACAGTATGCAAGGTTGTTAAAAGTATTTAGCTTTTTTAAAGCAAATGTTGATTGTTTCGAACTCATTTTTCATTTTGCCATTCAGAGATACTCAATTATTAAGAAAAAGATTATCTTTCATCCAAATTACAATAATCATGATCTCTTAATGGTACTTCGGATAGATCAAATTTCTTATTTAGGAAATCGAACACTATTTATCATTCGAATTATCTAGTGTTCTATAAATTTTTAACAAAGACCAAAGTCGAAACTAATCACCATTATCAATCTATTCCTCTGGACTCTGTATAGAAAAAGGATGATGCCCGCCATCCAAAACCTCTTATTCCTGATGACGGCTATTTAAGCAGTTTTTGAGTAGTGATAAGGTCCTACTCTATAAAGCCTCTGAGTCATTGATTGGCTCTTTATTCTAAGCATCTCTTTCATTCAAGATTCAATGAATAGAAGTCTAGTTGGTGTCCAAATAGATATATTCGGCAATCCCAATGATGACTCACCTAGTTTGGAGCAGTAGTTATCGTATGATTAAGTCTAAATCGTTTGAAATTTACTTTGTATACAGAAACCGAAGGTCTAATTACTTCTAGATCAAGATATCACCGATTTGATAGAAATGGAAAGAGAATGAGATATTTTTGAAATTTTCCATGAAAATATGGGAAAATTAGCTAATATTTAGTATGTGTGCTATTCGTCAACTTTCTTGAAATCGAATAAAACGTTCGATTATATTTTCTTGCAGTGTAAAAAACGTAATCTTATTTCATGTATGATCGATAACCTTTTTGAATTCTATGGAGAGGATCTGTTGTACTATAATTTGAACGGTATATATAATTAGAACATCAAAATCAACTCTTATAATGCAAACTCGCATTTGAATCATTAAATGCGTTGGTATAGTACGTCTTGTACAGAAAAGTTTGCTTTTTTTGTGGCTTATCTAAATCGTCACTCTTACTTAATTGTTACTAATTATTTACCTTTTCTCGATCTTTCAATATTTTGTTGCATATCTTTAAATCTCACGGCTATACCATAGAAATAGCTGAATTATAAGACTAGCAACTTCGAAGTTATATAGATCAAGATAAATAGAACAGCTTTCGAGTGAATCTAAATTTATTAAGATACATTCTTCGTTCAAATAATTGACTATTCACCATGGAGATGAGCTTCCACAAGAAGAGCTGAAGATGATCAAAGTCTTCTGTCATGTGACTTAATTCATTAATCAAGCCTTTCTGAGATTAGTAATGTCTAATATACGTTGTCTCCATGAATCTTCCTTCATGATTCATGAATAGCTTAATCAATTTTTTTGTCTATGCTAACAATTGCTCAGATAAATTGAATGATCGTATTGCCACCTATGATTTTGTTCACACAAAAAATTTGATGGTCGTTATAGTGTATGAAAAGTTGTAGCAAATACAACTCTTATATATTCGCAATATTTGGCTCTTACGAGAGCTGAATTTCTTAGATACCCTATAAACAATTTTCTGACATGAAAGAACACACAAAGAGACGATCCAAGAAGACTAAACTTTTCGATGCATCATAGTGGTCGGTAAAAGTCGTTCTCCTTTTTTTTGTCTGTTGACTGATCAGAACTACAATAAACTAGGTAGTCAACATATAGGTACAACAAACAACCATTTCAAAAGATCACAAATCTCCATTGACACCTTTATAAGATATTTCAGGTATGATTAGATCTATTAAACTATTGTAAAAATCTGTTCTCGAACTCTTTCCATTGAGCCCAAAAATATGAGGCAATAGTACTTCAAAACAGACTGATATAACAGATTCAGGAAGAGTTTATTATTCAGAGTGTGACCGTGGGATGTTGGTTTAGTTCTAGCCCCTACTTACACGTACGCGCACAGGTACACCCATACCCCACAAAAATTTGTTGATGATGTTTAAACTCGTTTTGCTACGTATATTTTAAGTTTTTCATTGAAATTACGATTTGATGAATCATTAAGTGTGCATGTGACATGGACATTATTAATTAATTGCTTATTTAGTCTACTTCCCAAGTCATATTCTTTTCCATCGTAATCATGTCTGTGAGAAATATATTCTGTAAACAGGTACGGAAAATCTAAGTAAAATAACAGTAAACTAAAACACTAAACAATCATTCAATTTTGTTTGGATAATATAAAGTTATATGAAAATGAGTTGATAAAATCTGATAAGTATATTGTAATGAAATTTGATTAAATAGAATAGTCTAGTGCAGATTCCCTCACAGAAACAGTCTTTAAAGTCAGTAAAAAATGCTTGATTTGCGAAGGAAACACTTTTATGCTCGAATTTGTGAAAAAGCATGCAAAACTAAAACATGTATGCCGATCAGTAAGAAATTCTCTATTCGAGCAATCATTTAGCGTTACGCGTTACAACTTAATCGTAGAGTGCTTGTATAAACGCTTCTGAAAGAATATAATTCCTGAAATGTCAAAAATATTATTCGATAATTAATTTCTTGCTTCATTCGTGCAATGCGAGACTCGAGTAAGGCGAATAACCTAAGAATTTCGTAGTGTTCATTCAAGATAATGAAAGTCAGATTAGAGATCCATTTAGGTAGCAGTGCGTATCAATTAAACGAAGATTTGCATTCATCTGTCGTTGTTATAGTTATCTTTGAAGTTTTCTGAATGAGATATGATTGTAGTTTTAAGTATAATAAATATGCATTAAGTCTAGTCAAAGCAACACAATTCCCTTAGTGAGTTCTCTAGCCTCTATTTTGATCGTTTCTGAAGAAACACTCGAGGAATAAATCCGGATTCTTAGCTGCCAGGATCGCACCAAGTTTGGATCAGGATATTGTATACGATTTTTCAGGTCCCTACTCAAGACTTTTTTTTCTAAAACTTTAGCAAAGTATATGAGTTGTATTGACATCTCCAAGAGATCCTAAAAGTAATTAAGTCTCATTTGAATTATTTTTTCCACTTTTTTGAGAATTAAAAGTGTGATACCATGGACACTTGATGATACAAAACGAAGCAGAACTGCAACCGGTAGACGTATTTCCTTACTGATATCAGTACCATTCTAATCAGTCAGACCAAACCGAACCAGATAGGTTACTATACTAGCATGAATCATTCTTTAGTTTTCTTACCCTATAACATTCAAATCAAATCTTCACTTAGCCATACCTATTTCTTAATGACTACAGAAATGGTATAAGAGTCTTGTTTATTCATTGTTGTATTTTTAACTGTTTATATCGAAAAATTATCGTTTTCTTGGTTTCTATCGGTCAACAGAAAATATCCCGGGATTACATATTCTATATAACAGCTATTCCATGTGATCGACGGCCTACAATCATAGAGAAACACTCAATCAGAAGCTTGAATTTGCGTTAAATTTACTCCATCTTATAGAGTATGCTCTTTTAGATACAGACTAAAATTATTAGTCTTATTAGAGATGTGTTCCTACCAATATATTAGGATCTTTCGAATAATTTTTTCAAAGGAATCATCTAACATTTGTATGGCACTACAATAGGGAATCACCTTCCTCATAGATTTTCTCCAAAGAGATGGATGGAATATTGCTAGAACATTTATACCAAACACTATGAACTAACGACTGATGGATGGTGCGGGTGTGGATGGGCGGAGGAGGACGATGTGTGCAGATGTGAGTACAGGTGTTGAATGAAGATGTAAGTCTATGAGTAGTTTTTTCACCGTGTCACACATCCATATCCATACCACCAATCAACCTTTTAAAAACAACGTATGTTATATTTTGCTTCCCACATACCAACACTATTACAACAATCACTACTGTTACATGTGCCTTGTCACAGAAACGTCCTTTCAAATTTGTATGATGTAAAAGTTATTTCTTGAGGAATCTCTCGCTATTTTAAATGTTCTCTTTCTTGTAGAGAAGAGTCTAGCAAGAATAAATTGTCTGCTTGTATGTCCGCACTTCACTGATTGGTTCAAGAATAAGGCGAAAATAAAAGCGGTTATTTTCCATAAAACTTGACTAAAGGTAGTGCAGGGTGAAGAATCCAAAGCCGAGGCGAGTTTTAGTTAATTAATTGTTAATTAATAACTAGCTGATTATTAATTATTAATTTTTTTCAAAAAACTTGACTAAAGGTAATCGAGGGTGGACAATCTGAATCCGAGGTCGGTTTTACTCATTAACGTATTATTACTTAATTATTTATATTTTCGACAAAATTTGACCAAAAGTGATCGACGATTTTTCAAATAAAACCGAGGATCTATGAAGAGTTTGTGTTAATAAACTAGCAATGCTAAGGAGTAGTAAAACATAGTAATGTCATCATAGTTTAGGAAAAAACTTTACTAGAGAAAATTCAAAAACAAGAATTTCAATTTGGAACTAATTATTATTAGTAATATAGATAAGTGAATAATTGGGGGAGAGTCCAGAAACATCACTTCTACGAGAAACAGCTGAGCGAGTCCACAGACGAGCGTTACTTATAAATGAAATGTTTTGCGAAATGTTAGAGTTTTGATTTGTGATTGATTTTAGACGCGACAACAGTAGTGACAGCAGCAGTAGAAGCAACAACAACAACAACAACAACCGATACTACTACACCAGCTAATATTACAACAAGTACTACTACAAGTACTACCACAGGCACTTCAACAAGTACTACAACAGGCACTTCCACAAGTACTACCACAGGCACTTCAACAAGTACTTCAACAAGTACTACCACAGGTACTACAACAAGCACTTCAACAAGTACTACCACAGGCACTACAACAAG